CCTGAGTTAAGTTAATATTCTGGAAGATTAACTTACAGCTGTGGAGTGTATTATTCACTGGTTAATTTATGTCTGCATGTTTAGTGTACCATTCAAACTGTTTGGGATGAGCTCTTCCAATTTTTTGAGGCCTGAAGGATTGGAAGAAGCAGACTGGTTGTGGTGTGTTTATGCCTTGTTTGTTGAAGTCTGCTCCAGATACCTGTTAGAGGGAATCTCCTCTTTAGGTGTAGAAGGATGGCATCTATCACCTCAAAGTCAGACATGTGGTTTGAACATTGTGCTTATAACGAGAAGTTCCTTGTGGTGTGTTATATGCAGTTTACTGCATGTATTTCCGATCTGGTCTTGAAGGGTGATTAGCTACTGATGGTTGATTCTCTTGTGGTTCCTTCAAGAGTGATGTATGGATTACTATGGTGCTGTCTCCAAAACCACAGTTAAGCGTGAAAGCCATATAAATGAGAGTGGTGTCTGAATAAGTTGATGGAACATCATCTCAGGTGTTTGTAGCTTCATAGAAGGAAGTTATTTTGAAGATCATGGGGTGAGAATTGTTGATCCCCATTGGCTTACTAGATTGGAATGTCTGACCATGATGAAGTGCTGAGTCCAATCTATGACCAAGTCTGGAGTGATGTGAATGTTTGACATGATTGTATGTCATGATGAAGAATCCTATTGTGCTAAGAGTGTGAAGAAGGATGTCAAATCAAAAGCTCTAACACTTGTGGATGGGGATCATCATCTACTGTTTCTATTTGCATGTGACTGATGGTAAAGACCTTGTCGGGAGTTGGTTACTTATCTGATGTGTGGATGCAAATCTGCTTTCTGAACTCTTTGCTTCAGAAAGTGTATGATAGTGTATTTCTCTTCTTGATGTTTAGGTGTTTGTGATAACCTGATTAAGCTGCATTGGTTGTGCTTCTTTTGTGCTTCTTGAAGGACGTCTTTGCATAATGAGTCCTCTATATATTTTTTTAAGAACCAAGGTGATTGAGTTTTGTGATGAGAAGCTAATGTCCCAAATGATGATGTAACATCATGTTTGGTGGTTGTATGGTCATTTTTTCTTGAAGGATTCTTGGGATTATGGATGTGGAGTTTGGGGCTCAAGCATTATGGTCAGAAGATGTGTTTCCGATGATGTAGATTAGAATGTGGAGATTATGATCTTGTTTATAGTAGTATATTCTAGAAATGCATGACTACTATGTTGAAGACTTCACTAGTATCAGCAATTTCTAGTGAATGTAAGGGTAGAGGACTAGGATTAGATAGTGTGATCTGATTAGGAAGATTGTGGAGAAGTGTTTTTCTCTGCTACAAGTGTGTCAGCCTGGAAACTGTGTAGCAAGAAAGCTATGAGAATTTGTTATGGAATATGTGGTTCTGTAAGGACAATTATCAATTGTGTCCTTGGTGTGTGAATAACTCAGGGTGCTTGGTGGTACCCTTAGAGAGCTAGTGTATGTGAATCTATAAAAGTCTGGATTGATTTTACAGTTTGAGAATGTGTTCAACAGGCGTGCTCTTCTAGTGCTCAAATGATTATGTTCAACAGGAGAACTGATTATCCATGACGGGGGAGTTAAAACTTGTTTATGAGATATTGGTGCAATGATGCAAAAAAAAATTTAAGCTTGCGTGTTGATCAAGCTTGTGGAAAATTTATGCCTCTTATGTCAGACAACATGGTGTGACATATGGCTTCTAGATGAAGTTATGGTGTGCTCTTAATAGGGAATGTATAGTTCTAGCTTTGTGAAGCTAGTTGTTTGAATCATCTGCACACATGATTCTTAGGAGGAGTCTGAAGGACAATTTTGTTTGTATCTGGGAGTATTTGTTTTTCTCTGTAGTTTTTGGAAGGACTCTTTGAAGGTTGTGTGATGAATGGGGATGTCACACATGTGATGTGATGGTATTGATATTTTGATTTGTGTTGGCCAAAATGAGTATATGTAGAGACAAGTGGAAGACATTATGTTTATGCTTTAGAACATGGATGTTTTTGTGAAGTATCTTGGTCTGATAGTTGAAGATGTGTGGTCAAGTTTTTTTTAGAGAAAGAAGAAAATGTCTGACTAGATGTCAGGACATTATCCAGGACATGCTTTCTCCTTGAGTCAAACAAGGAAGTATAATGGACGGAGCTGTCAGGAGGATGTGTAAAACGAGATGTTTGTCTTTGCACGCATATTTATTGGAATTATGAAGACAGTCCGAATCTATTTCAGATGGTACATTGTTATTGGTGATCTCCCTCAAATAACGTTCTCATTGACCAAGACCGTTATTTCCTAAGAAGACTACTTGGCTATTTAAAGAGGTCATTACTTCACCTTTTTCATCTTATGGTGATTACTCTTTCTCTATTCTTATGGCATGTGTCATGATGAGAGGGTTTTGTTTGTCAATTTTTGGCCAAAAAGGGGGAGAGAAGTTTTATTCAGCTCAGTTGGGAGTCCAAAGTTTATTTTTGAACCAGTTTCACAAGGATGCCAAAGATAATGTTTTGTTCTGAATGTTCTGTTCTGAGTCTTGATATTTGTATCTTGTGATCTGAGTTGTGAACAAAATTGTGACTTGTGCTCTAATTTATCCGAATTGAAGGTATTCTGGGTTTGGCCGTTGTTTGGCTGCTCCCTGTGAGCAATGTTTCTGGGTTTAGGGGGAGTGTTATTTGTCTTCTTCCTCATGTATACCAAATGACTTCACAACTTTCTACTCCATTTATCCTGAGGTTGTTGTTTGTTGGTGTTGAGTTTGTGTGTTGCAATGGAGCTATTATGAAGAAGATGTCAAACATGATGTCCAAACATCATTGTGCTTGTGAAGAGATGTCCATCCATGTTGTTATGATGCTGTTTTCAGTAGTTATTGAAGACTACGGTTGAAGAATTATAATTTTTAATTATTGCTGTAATCTGGGTTGTAATTTATATTATTTGTTTGAACCAAAATTTACAAAAGGGGGAGATTGTTAGTTCTCTATTTTTAGGATTGACATTAATTTTAGTAAAGCAAATATAGCAACAATATGTTAAATAGGATATAATTACTTGATGTGAATAACAATTGGAGCAAGAAGTCCTATTTTATGTTGAAACATGTTGAGATGAGAAGTTCTCATCGAATGGAACAACAAGTCAGATAAGATGTCCTATGCAGGATCATACGACATCGCGCCTGAGCTGAGCTGAACATTTGGATTCTGTTATGGTTTAACAAATTATGAATATTCTGAGAATATTATACAAGTCCTATATGGCGTTGATTTAAAGGTTTGTAAGAATATTGAAGAATATTGACTTTCTAAATAAGGAGATCTTTTAGGAAATATTTGATTGAAGACCTATTTTGTTGCAGAATCTTCTGTAGATTTGTATTAACTGATATGTTGTGATTTGAAGCCTAAATTAAGTTATGAGATAGGTTATAAATAGAAGCATTATAACCTAGAAAAAGTATCAACCATGAATAGGAAAGATGTAATCATTAGGGCTGAGTCTGTACCACTCTCTAGGAGAGTTGGTTTGTGTGATCTACTCGACATGTGAGTTGGATTGTGTTCCTTGAGTTGCAAGCTTTTGTTATCACTCTTAAGCTTTTAAGCATAGAGTTGATTATTGTTCTCCTGGAATATGTGAAGTAAGAGTGAGTATTTTTCTTGAAGGAATCTTGCAAGAAACATTAAGTTGTTGTTCTTAGTCAAGAGTCTTGGATAGGTATTGTCATGGAAGTGTGTCTTCTGTTTTGTCGTCATGGATGTGTGTCTTTCTGTTTATGTTCAATCATTGTCTATGATTGAATGGGAGTTGAGGAGGGCCTCATATCTAGCTGATTCTTAGATAGAAAGTGTAGCACGGGTAGTGATTAAGTGAGAAGTTGTAAACGAGGGAGTTTAGCTTCGAATTGATACTATTATTGTGGACTTTATCCCTGGCTAGGTATGCCATCAGAGTAGGAGAGTTGCTCCGATCAGGGTTAACAATTCTTGTGTGTTGTTTATGCTTTTCAGTATTGTTTATATTGTGTATGCCTTACCTGTGTTTTTAAAGTCAGATCAGATGTCCAAACATTTCATAGGACATCTGAAGTCTGATATACCTGAATTTCGCTGTATAACAAGATGCTGTCTATGTTGACTCTTTAGAAAAAGTTGCTAATGATGCTACTGCTTTAAGGTCCATGTTGTACCCCAAAATTTTCTCTCCCAATTGACACTTTCATCTGAATTAGGCTTTTGCATTAATCTTCATACATTCTATTAGGTCACTTACATAGCATACATTTCCATTTCAATAAAGTACCATGAAGTTCAAAGTTCATTGGTCGTGCAATATGAGAGTTTTACCGGGGTTAAGGCGTTCGTATCCAATAAAGGCTGATTCCTTCTTCAAGCATTAAACAAAGGAATTAAGGTTGTGATATGTGGTCATTGATAATTTCTTTCTCCTCAAGCTACAAGACTATTATTTTCGTATCAATAGCAAGTCGCAGGGTTTTCCTTTTTAGAGCCATGAATTTAGGGTTTATATCCTATTATACCCGGGTTTATCAATATTTTCACTGGATGTTTGATGGATAGAAAGACATGATAAAAGGAGGGTGTTGTGAATTATCATTCTCAATTGTTTGATTGCTTGTATTACAAGTTAGCTCGGATGTGAGAATTGAAATTAAGGTTTCTTTAAGACATGGTACTTTGTGAGGTCATTGGTTACCAAGTCAAAGGTTATAAGGATTGAATTGCAAAATATTAAATCATGATTCAAAGAATAATTTTGTGGGTTCATTGCTATACTTGTTGCTTGCAATGCAAGCAGATGCCAATGGGTTGGTTTTGCTGATTGAAGATTGGTTTAGAATTGTTCATCCAAGTTTTATTTGTGTTCCAAGTTAAGATTATAGAGTACAAGTTACAGATTGTAAAAATATCATGGTTCATCCAAGTTCACCATATTGGTTCTAAGTTCCAATCATAATTCCATTCACACATTAAAAATAATGTAAAATTATTTCAATTACCATCAAAACCATTGCAAATTCAAACCATTACACCAATAATCCACAAAAGAAACCATTACAAATCTATATTACATCATTACATAGAAACTTTACAAAGGTATACACTTGAGTCGCAACCCGTGTCCAATCTTCATGACCAAGCCCCTCTTGTTAACCTTCAGGATATGCTAAAGGCCTTTAAAAATCTTCTCCATATCCTCTTCAAAACATTCTGCAAGCTTCAAACAACATCATGCCCTGGCAAATCCATGTATCAGATCCGCCCTATCCAAACAAAGATAACCTGCATCCATAAAACATTTCCAAACCTGCATAGAAACCAAAAAACTATAATAACCAGACATGAATCTAACAAAAAATAAATAAAATGCTTGCTAACTTGCAGCTTTGTAGCATGCTTTGCTAATGCTGAAAGATACACCATATATAAAAACTAGTTCAGCCATATCCAGTTCACAAAAACTCATAAAACTTGTTGCACCATGTGTTCAAACCTCATGCCAAAAAACCAGTTAACAGCCCTACAAAACAATGAAGTTTAGTTAACATTCAGCCTTCAACAATTTTCACATTAACTATGTTCACCTTTATCTTTTAACTATAACTTTTCAAAACCTAACTAAACTTCTAACAGTATAACCAACCTCCAATCTCCTCCTAGTTTTAACTCTCTTTATAACGAACTTCCTAACAGCTATAACAGATTCCTAACCGCCTAATCCTAACCCTCCATTACTCCTAATTAACTCTCTCATCTAAGAGTTTAGATTCATGTTAAACCATCACTCAAAATAATTTCCAGCTCCCTAACCAATTTTTAAGTCCATAACTAACTCTCAAAAACGCTCCTCCTCACCTTTCATTTGTCATAACAAACTTCTAATCCAACTGCTCAGATTCAGTTCCATCCTAACTAACTTTCTAACAAACTAACAAATACAAGTACAAAAAACTCACTTGAGATCGATCATTGTTCATTTTCTGAGAAGAATCACAAAAATCACCACAAGACTCTCTATGTAATCTTCAACCTTCTCTCTTCTCCTCTCATCTTCATTCTTCAATCTCAGCAAGCATTCATCTTCTCCAAATATCTGAAAATTCTTCACATCTTCGTTGCTCTCTCATCGCTGAAACTTCCACTACAATCTTCAACTCCTCTCGTATCTCTGAAATTTATCAATTCCTCAGCCTATTTTAACCTCTTTGATCTGCATCACAACAGGATTCAATATCCTCAATCATCATTAGCTTGCATCTTCTCTGCTACATCAGCAACAATTTCACCGTTTTGGCAATTTCGATCTGCATCACAATACTCATCGTCATCATCTTCCTGTAACGCAAACAATAACGATTCGAGACACTCAAGCATAGAAACACAAAGAAGCGGAAATCGAGGAAGAAGCAATCGCCGAAGTGTCAAACAACATACCAGATCTCTAGGGATTATTCTCTTGTTTTCTTGTTGACCGCTATCACAGTGAAGGCGCATCGGACGGGACTCCGGCTGGTAAGATTCTTCGTGTCGATCTTGTTACCTTTCGTTTGCTGCATAGTGTAATACGATGTCGTCCCAAAGACGAATTGATTTCCGTTTAGCCGTATGTGTTGTTCATCAGATTCCGTTGGTTTAGTTTATGAACGAATAGATGATGAGGGTGAGCGCCGCGGCAGAGATAGGCAGGGAAGAATTTCATGATGAGTGTTTATCAGAAGAGGCGATGTTGACGAGGAAATTAGGTCAGAGAAGAAGGTGATAGTGAAGCCAAGACGTTAGAATGGAGGGGAATGACAAAGTCTCGTTAGAGATTTAAAGGAGAAACTGGCCACGACACCATTTTGAGATAGGAGAAAAGAAAGTTTTTGTTCGTATGGAGCTGAAAAAAAAAACACAATTTTACCCTAGATCCTTTTTTCAATTGAATTCATTTTTTTACTATTTGTTTTTTTGTTAATAAACTGAAACAAAAAATGGAATGTGACATTTGTTGAACTGGACCAAAATTTTTCTGCACATTAAGCCCATATTGATTTTGGAACCAGCTTGGGAATATTAAAAAAAAGTGCTTTTTAGACTTTGTTGAGGGGCCCATGCGCGTGATTACTAGCTTACACCACCTGAAATCAGTTTCCTACCCCCTGGTTCTCATATATTCTTTTATTAGATTTAGGATTTTGCTTATAATTTTTTCTATATATTTTTTGATGATAAAAAATTATAAAATCAATAATAATTTGTTAGATTTTTATTATTTGATTTTAGGAATTAATTCATGATTATTCGATTACTTGAGACTTGTGATTAACTTTTTCTTGTCGAGATTTGAGTCTTATCCAAGTTTATTATGTGATATGCGGATATGCTTGAGAGTTTGATTGTGATTTATTTTCACATCGATGATGCTTCGACCCTTATTCCGAGCATTTGATTTCTGACTCTTTTATATTGCTTGGTGAAGCTTACTCAAAGTTTTTTGGGTTTCTCTGCTTTGATCGTTGTGCTACGAACTCTTGTTTGTTTGGTATCATTCTGATTTTGATTTATCTTTATGCATTTTACTAATTTTCTAGATATCATGAGAAGTAGGAAATGAAGAGCGTGCGCTCGAAGACGCTATTTAAAGACCTATAACAGGCATTCCACACTTATTTGATATTGGTGTTTGCGCTTGTGTTTGCTTCCTTTGTTAACGATCGATGATGTCACTCAATTAGATTTGAGAAAACGACTTCAATCTTTGCATGCTCCCCATAGGATTTCATGGATTATTTGTTTTAACGATCAATGATGTCACTCAATTAGAATTGAGATAACGACTTCGATCTTTATATGCTCCACTTAGGATTTTATTATTTTCCTTTGTTGATGATCGATTATGTCTCTCAATTAGAATTGAGATGACGACTTTTGTCTCATTGCATGTTCCCTTAGGAGCTCTTGATTCATCCTTTGGTGGCGATTCGAGATAGACGTAGGTTTAGGTTTTGAATCTTTTCCATGTTTCCTTAGAGGTTCTTAATTCATCCTTTGGTGGTGATTCAAGATAGATATTAGGATTGTAATCCATGCATGCTAACGTAGGGTAGAGATTTCCCTTTCAAAACTCAACCTTAGGACTAACCTTTGTATGATAACATTAGAGATTAGATTCTAGCTAGCTTCCCTTAGATGTTTTTCTTTCTTTTGCATCCTTGCATTAAGAATAAAACTCCTTTCTTGGAAAATGCATAAAAGATATAACAACCTCCAAATCCTTTTTCAAGGTAAAAAACATCAACCAATGCAAACTCTTCTCGCCTTTGGGCCTTTCTTTCAAACTTTAAAAGGATGTGTTAATTCTAATCTACACAACACAACGCGTAAATCCCCGAAGTTTGGGTGGCACTATGTCTAAATTTCTAGAGCACGAATGTAGCATTATCCGCCTTTGGGCATTTTTATTTGAAAATATCTTGTTAGGTAGAACATGTTGATTCACTTCTGTGCTGACGCGTGAGTCTCCAAAGGCCGAGCTGCGGCAGAAGGCGAAATTAATATTGTTCATTAAAAAACACAAAACAAACCGAAACATATGAGCCGAACTATGACGCTCTGTTTCCTTAAAAGGGATACATAGGCATCTGGTCATGGGGCTCAACCGAGCGAGCTTTGTAAATATTTCCTTCTTTTCACCGTGTTTTTGCATGCATTCCCCCTTTTCATTTTTTCTTCTTAACTCGTAAGCGTAGATTTGAACACACCCTTTGATTATAATGATAAGAGTGGATACCGTAGAGTACTACGGGCGTGTGGGGTTCTAATACATTCCCCTCATGTAACAGACTCCCTTACCCGATCTCTCAGTTGTTCGACCTTTATTTCACCCTTCTCATATTTACTCGAGGTTTACCTTTCCCTTTATGTGGGATAAAAAACGTTTGATGGCGACTTCATTGATTTCATCTCGATGATTTGTTCAGTCGGTAGTTTTAGTCCATAATATCGTTGGTTATGGGACAACCATCTAGCTCAAAGGGTAAACAAGTTGTAAATGTTGAATACCAACCAGCTTGGTAAAAGGCTGTTATGGAAAAACAACAGGAATATTATCGTCTCATCCATCAACTCTTGAATAGCCAGGATGAAAAGATTGAATCTCAAGCGGCTTCTTTCAAGGATTGTTTGATGCGATGATAAAGTTCATGGCAAATTTTGACAAGAAGGATGATGCTTAGAACCTTAACCTATTGTATTAGAACTTAAGAATAGTTTTTCTTTTGTTTCTAAAAAAATTGCATCTTTATCCTTTTGGGTTTCAATGGAAATTTTATTTTGTCTTTTAAATCCTTTTTTGATTTATGACAAATGGGAGAAAGAGTAAATCATTTTGATAGTACCTAATCTCAGATCTCAAACCCAAAAATGATATAATGCTTGTACTTCTAGCAATTTGTTTAGTGTTTGGTTCAGGAACTTTTCAAAAGTTTATTAGTTTTCATAGACAGGTGAATTGGCTATCATAAGATTATCATCTGTCAACCAGAAGATCAAGATGCACGAAGAATGCTCTGATGAGCTAAGCATCTGGAAGCAATCAAGATCAAGATGCATGAAGAATGCTCTGATGAGATCAATATGCACGAAGAATGTTCGATTGATCTAAGCATCTGGAAGAAATCAAGATCAATAGGCATGAAGAATGTTCTAATGAGCTAAAACATCTGTGAATATGTATTAGTTAGAAGTTGTGAACTGTCTAAAAATGAATCATGAACTAAAACTATAATTTGGTCAGAAGGCTCTGACTAAGTTAAAAGCTGAAATATACGTTGATATACCTATTGTTCAGAAGGAGTGAACTTCCTGAAAATATGGTTAAATCAAGCTATGATAGTCCTAATATTCAAAAAGTTATGAACTGACTGAAAGTAAGGAAATCGTGCATTGATAATACCTATTGTTCAGAATGAGTGAACTTCGTGAAAACATGGTTAAATCAAACTATGATATCCTACTGTTAAAAGAATTTGTTAACTTTCTAAAAGTAAGGAAATTGCATGTTGAAAATACCTATTGTTCAGAAGTTATGAACTTTATGAAAATATGGTAATCAGAATTTTGTCGCTCCAGAAGTTGTGAACTGTCTGGAAGAACTAACAAAGTTGTTATGTTACTTAGAATTTGCTTCAGAAGTTGTGGACTATCTGAAAGAATGACAACATGTGCTTTGGAAACGTTTGATCCACTATCACAAGACTGTTGAGAAGTTATTAACTACCTGAAAGTGTTTGTAACCATGTTACGTGTTATCAGATTCTGATACTTCAGAAGTTGTGAAATGTCTTGAAGTATAGTAATTATGTTATTAAACAAAGTTGCTTCAGAGGTTGTGAACCGCCGAAACACATAGTCTAAATACATGTTCTAATACATGTTCGGAAGACATGGTTTAAGACATGTTTAGAAGATACGGTCTAAGATATGTTCGGAAGACATGGCCTAATACTTGTTCTGAAGACATGTTCTCAAGACATGGTCTAAAAGACAGGGTCTAAGACATGATCTAAAAGACATGTTCTGAGACATGGTCAGAAGACATGTTCAAAAGACATGGTCAGTCAGGAAATGATTTAGTTGCTGAACTTTCTGATGACATGATGTTGTGTGCCTTCTGGTGGCATAACTCTAGTTCCTAGAAGAACCACGTAATAGTTCTGATATTTGATGCAATTCATCAAGACAATAACTAAACAAGTTCTATTACCTCCTAGTGTTCTGATAGCAATCTAGGTTCTGAGATGAAGACCATGTATTTCTAATTAGATGCTAATGAGAAGTCAATGGAGAAGTATTCCTTCTCTATGTGACTTTGTGTACTACAAAATTCATTGTGAGTTTTGGGCTCTGGGGGAGACTATGAGAAAGCTTTAATGGAATTTTGAGTATTAACAGATTCAGGGGGGAGTCGGTTGGCTCTACTGAATTTGAGTTCCATTATGATTACCTTGTATAAATTATTCTATCAAAATACATGGTTTTGTCATCATCAAAAAGGGGGATATTGTAAGAACAAAGTTGGTTATACATCTGGCCTTATGTTTTGATGATAACTTTACATGTTATCTTTGAGAACAATTATGTACTCTAACAGGTTTATGTCTGTTGCGAATGGTTTTTAAATGAGAGTCGTCACTACTAGTTTTTATCCTAAGGAAGGGCATCTAATAGGAACCCTAAATTGTAAAACAAAGATTCTAAGATTCGGACTTCATTAGACGAAAGGAAGGTGTTAGGAATCTTTCATCTCCCTTATTCTTAAGGCTATTAGGTTTTAGGTTTAGGTTTCGGGTGGAATAGGGTTTTAAATTTTAATAGGGGAACTCGCCATGATTTTAGTCGTATGCTTACATATCCTCTTATGAGGAATCAAAGTCCCGATTCGTAGTTCGTATGGGATTTGTGTTTTTTAGGGGTTGCAAATTTATTTTGAATAGCCTCACATTTGACCGGGT